CCCTACCCCCACCAGCACATTTGGGACCACATTAGTGAGGCTTGGGGGGTTTCGGAGGAGCTTTTTTGTTTTTTGTTTTTTGTGCATCTCACTTGTGTGGCCCCAACTGACTTTTCTGTGGGTCAGTGACCTTTGACTCAAAACAGGTTCCTCACCCCTCTCATATATAGAGACAATGCTAAAACCTTTTGAGTTTGACATATTTTATTTAAAAATGAAGCCAGGCCAACAAGCTCCCAATTGGGACCAAACCCCCATTTCACTGCAGCATCATGCACCACCTGACCCCAAATCTGAGCCTATCATACACTGGAACTCCCTGTCCTGAGCCTCTTTCATCCCCAAACTCCTGCATCCCCACATCCTCGGTCTTCTGCCACAACATTCCTCCACCATCCACACATCACAAATCTGTATCCTGTTCTCATACTCACAAACTTCTTGCCCTGAGTCCCTCACATATCCAGCCCAAACTCCTGCACCCTCATATCCATGAGCCCTGGCTTGCTCAGCACCCCAACCTTCCACCTGAACCCAACACTCCCTGAGCCAACAGCCCCTTCTGCATCCAAATTCCCTCCCAGAGCTTGTACTTCTCACCCCTTCGCACACCCAAATCCCTCATTCCCACCCCACACCTCACTCTCACTAGGTTGAGACAGGTATAAGGGCTGGGTATAGCAAGTGATGGAGAGGAGGGGAACAGAGTGGATGAGGCTTCACGGAAGGGAGATGGGGGTTTGTCTCTCAGGGAAAGAATGTGATTTTCATGAATTGGTGAGTCCCTCTCCTCCCCCGCACCCCCCTCCTTTTCCTTTTCTTTTTTTTTTTTTTTTTTTGCTTAACAAACCTAGGAGTTCCTTGAAATTCTGAAAAGGGTTCCTCGGCCAAATAAAATTGGGAAACACTGACTTAGACTAAAAAGTCTGTTCCACATACAGTTAGCTGTGGAGTGCATTTCTCATACCTGAATAGGAGTTTTGTGTGGCTTGTCTTTCTCACAGACAGAAGTTGGTCCAATAAAAGATGCTACTTTACCACCTTGGTTGTCTGTTGTGGGCATTTCTCGGTGCTTAGTAACCATCTGGATAATAGACTTGTTAAATTATCGAACTATCATAATGTACATTATAGGAAGCCATTTGTTTACCACCTTTCTTCTCTAGCTAGGTGGAAACCATGGGCCCTCAGAGACAACTTTTTAGAGGTCTTTGGGAACTAAGTCTGGGCATAGGTTGTCAGCCAATTTAACATTGTGCTTATTTTGGTGATAAGCAAGTTCTGGGAAGAGATTGGGTCTAACATGAAGCTGGCATCAAACAGCTCTTTGTATAGCATCAGGTATGCTGTAAATAAACAGTAAATAACTACAGACTTTCTCTGCAACAGAGTTTCCTTTTCTTTCACTGGGAATTTCACATTTTGGTCAGTCCCATTTTTGGGGATGAGGATTTGTAATCTGAATCTGACCAATCCCTTTAGGTCTGCTTCATGTCCTTTCTCTTCTTTTACAGTTAGCATCTGTCATTTTGAAACAATATGTGGAAACTCACTGGTGTTCGCAGTCAGACAAGTTTAGGCCGCCAGAGACCACAGAAAGGGTAAGATTCTTGTTTAATATTGAATAAGTTGCACATTTCTTATCTACTATGACAGATTTTGAGCAATGTGGCTTGTTTTGGGGTAGAGGATGACATTCCATTATTAGAATAAGTAACACTTCCTATTATTTAGGTTGCCTAACACTTCCTGGTATGCTTGGTTTTCAGTTGCTTATAATTTCCCCAAACTTTATCTCTTTGGGCTGAAACATTGAAGTGTTTGAGAATGAGGCCATGAAAAATGTTTTAAAGTGTTAAAATAATTCTGAAAAACTTAAACAACAAAAAACAGGACTATGTAGCACTTTAAAGACTAACAAGATGGTTTATTAGGTGATGAGCTTTTGTGGGCCAGACCCACTTTCTCAGATCAAATTGTGGAAGAAAATAGGCATGACCATATATACCAAAGGGATATAATAAAAAAAAGTGCACACACATGAAAAGGACTAATCAAATTTCAGAACAGATGGGAGATGGGGGAGGAGGGAGGTAAATGTCTGTGAGCTAATGATATTAGAGGTGATAATTGGGGAAGCTATCTTTGTAATGGGTGTCGAAGCAAACGCCTTACTTAGTTTACGCGGCTAAACAGACAGTTTTATTGGCCAATAAAAGCAAAGTGAGCCAAGCGTGGTTTCAGCAAAGCCGGGTTCAGTAAGGTTACCTAATACAATTAATTCTAGTATTTTTATACCCTTAACCAAACAGTCTGACGTCAGGGCATCCAATTACAGAAATAATTAATTAGACTAGGAAAAACAAAGCCTTATTAACATGATGGCGGACAGGTACAGGTACGAGGGAGTACCTCTCCTCTCTGAACCAGCCCAATTAACACATTCCAATAGCACATCTGTTTTGGCCTGGCGCATGGGGTGATAGAAAGTTTACTTTGGCCTACGTGCAAAGACAAAAAGCTGAAATGGTTTCTGTTATACAAGATGGCTTTTAGCTAAACATAAACTAACTTCATCATGGGTAAGATAATTAGTGTCTTTGTTAAGACCCAGGCATAAAGTGTCAAAGAAAAAACAGTTTCTTGCCATTTCAACCAGAAAGGACGTTGTCTCAACGACTTAATTACCTGCATCCTGCTTCAAAAGCCTTTTAAGAATACACTTGAAAGAGAATCCTCTGAACTGTCATTCATGCTCAAATTCGACACTTTACACTTAGGTTTGAACAAAGACTCTAATTACCTTACCCATTACAAAGATAGCTTCCAGAAAAAACAGTTTCTTGCCATTTCAACCAGAAAGGACGTTGTCTCAACGACTTAATTACCTGCATCCTGCTTCAAAAGCCTTTTAAGAATACACTTGAAAGAGAATCCTCTGAACTGTCATTCATGCTCAAATTCGACACTTTACACTTAGGTTTGAACAAAGACTCTAATTACCTTACCCATTACAAAGATAGCTTCCTCTAATACAGGCATGTCCAAAGTCTGGCCCGCGGGCCAATTGCGGCCCGTGTTCCAGTTTAATACGGCCCCCGCTTCCCGGGCCCCGCCGCTGCCGCCCATGGCCTCCGCGGTCCTAGAGCCTGCCCTGTAGGGCACGTCCGCAGCCCCGCTCCCCAGCTCGGCTGCGGGTTCGCCCTGCCCCCGGGCCGCCGTGAAGCCGGCGTGCCCTGCGCTCTCCGCCCGCCTCCGACCCCGCGGGCCCTCCGCCTTGGGGCTGAGAGTGTGGGGACGGCCCTCACGCATGTTCACTTCTTCAAATCTGGCCCTCTTTGAAAAAAGTTTGGACACCCCTGCTCTAATATCATTAGCTCACAGACATTTACCTTCCCCCCCCCAATGCCTCTTCTGTTCTGAAATTTGATTTGTCCTTTTCATATGTGTTCATGTTTTTTAATTGTATCCTTTGGTATATATGGTTGTGCTAATTTTCTTCCACAGTTTGATCTGAGGAAGTGGGTCTGGCCCACGAAAGCTCATCATCTAATAAACCATCTTATTAGTCTTTAAAGTGCTACATACTTCTGTCTTTTGTTTCAGCTAGACCAGACTAACACGGCTGCATCTCTATCACTATAAAACATGTAGGTGGTATCGTGAGCTTTCGTGGGCAAAACCCACTACTCAGGTCATCTGAAGAAGTGGGTTTTGCCCACGGAAGCTCACGATACAGTCTACATGTTTTGTTAGTCTTTAAAGTGCTACTGGACTATTTGTTGTGTTTTAAGTTTTTCCTGTTACAGACTAACTTGGCTACCCCCTGAAGCTTTTGAAAATAATTCTGATTACCTTTGAGAAGGTCTTATGCTCCCATGCTTTTAATCTTTTCATAGAAATTTGGCAGAGAGGGCAGCCTTTATGTGCATTTTGCTGTCCCTTTGAAAGTCTGCCCAAAATTGGTAACATTTATAAATCTTTGAAAAATCTATTTGCACATGCTTACTAAAGGCTTCTTAGCAGCTAAAATCAGTGAGACTGCCCAAGCTGTTCTCATTACCCTACTGTGCATGAGCCATCCATGTTCAGCGACTGACTTTGCTATTTCCAGTCCAGTAGATGGAGCTAGACTTTCCATGTAATAGTTCTGAGCTGGGGTGGAGCCAGGCAGCGGACCTGAGAGCAAGGAGCTTCTCATTTGTGCTCTTAGCAGTTCTTTTGTTGGTACCCAGGTAGTAGAAAGGATGAAGTCACTTGAACTCAAAGGCAGAAGAGGAGAAAAGCTACACTGGGGATGGGTAAGGAGTAGATTAGGACAAGGTGTCTGGAGAGCAGTGTTCCCTCAAATATTTTCCATCATTGCGTGAATTGAACTTTCTAATGTGCAACAGCAATATTGATGTCATGTATGGGTGTGGACCCAAGTATAAACAGTAAATCTTTATATAAATATATATTTTAAACAGTTTGTAGATATGCAGGATAAAAATATTAAAACAAGGGATAATTAACAAGGAGCAATGCTTAAGATCTTTAATATCAAAAAGGAAATTAACACTACCTGTGGACTACATTTTATCATCCTTTCTAACAATATAAGCACACCAAAATGGGGCATACTGAAAATAGGTATATAAATAAACCAAAGACATAGCCAGTAAGTACAATCATAAAAAATATGCACCAGAGTCCCAATATAACAGCCTACTTCCATAGACCAGTAAATCTTCAGAATCTCCTCTAAAGCAGCTCTCAAAAAATGAAGCATTTGCCAAAACACTAGCACGTCACAGGCTTTTGCAGTTCACAGTACTATCCCTCTTGCGTGAATATTATCTACACATAGCTTCGCTTTAAGATAAGCAAATCAATGTCAACTAGAAATAATCATGCTTTCTTTGCAAATATTAGAACAATATTTACTGACACTGAAAAGGAGAGTAAAAAGCATTGTCGGGCTTAAACAGTTTCTCTGGGATGTCAACTCTTACTGCAAGCAAAGAAAGCCACAAACAACCACTGAAAATAGGAAGCGTGTAAAACATCAGGTGGTTGGTTATGGGTAGTTTAAATGAATGTTTAGGGTCCGTGCTATGCAAGTGAAACAGAGACCTGTAAAAAAAAAAAAAAAAAGTAAGTTCTCCTGGTTTGAAACTTTTACATTGTGTGTTGTCAAAGAAGCCCCGGAGAACATTAACACATGGCTTCAGAGTTTGTAGGCAGAGCCATGCTTCAAAGAGGTTGCAAGCAAGGATGGTAAGAGGTGGCTAATTGACTAATCATGTAGTTGATAAGCTAAAGCTTATCTGGTAATCGACTATTCACTTACATGCTTAGTTGAAAGTAAGTGAGTACGCCCATTGACTTATAATATTTAGAACTATACCAAATAGCAAAGATCTGGCCTTAATGCCAATACCCCTCCCCAAACAAATTGTAAAATTTTATGGAAATCACTTGCCTGGAATCCAATTCTAATGAAAAAGGCCAAACAAACAGGATCCATGGTCAAATGCTTCCAGTTTTAACTATTAATTAGTAACAGAGTTTTTAAAAAATCTTTAAATTCAATGTTTTCAGATATCTACAGCACTCAAAAAAAGTCTGTTAAAAGAATCCTTTTCTTTCTAACAAGTCATTAACACCTATGTAAACTGTTCAAAATTTAATCATGCAAATGTCATAAGCTTAGGCCTATCCACAGCCTGAATCCTTATCTACAACAGCAGTTTAAATGCTTGACAGTATAAAAACAACAAAACAAATGACTCAGATCCTGCATTAAGATCTACTATTACAGAATTTCTCAGGACTTGTTACTTCTCTGCTCTGGATCTGTCTCCCTCCAAATACATTAAATTTTAGCTCCAGCTTTCTAACATCTTCGGGCAGATGGCTATCGGTTAAGAAACTTGCCATGGCCAAAAGCAATCTTTTTATTTTCTCTCCTGATATTAGATACTCCAGAACTGCAGAGGATTTGCCATTTTGTGTTTGTTCTAGAAGTCAAACAGTGGAAAATAACTGGGAGCTACAGAATTCTTCCCGCAGCACCCCATCTCATGTAGCCCCATACTTCCCATGCCCCCATCATGCTGGCATAACCCTCCTGAAATTTTGGCATCGCCCCATGCAGCCTTTTTTCCCTATCTTCAAGCCAGTAGAGAGTCATGTGTCTGCTGACAGTGAGAGGGTCTGACTCTTACTACAGGCCAGATGAGAGTGAGTCTGGACACTCCAGACTCCCCACTTCACTGTACAGATGCCAGTACATCCACTCACCACTCCCCTTTTCCCCCACCTACTCCTATGCAGTCTACTCCCCCCAGCTCCGCTGGGGCTTGGGGTAGAATCCTGCCTCTTGTGCACCAGGAGCTGCAGTCCAGGTGAGAATCAGGACAGGAGGAGAATACAAACAGACTCCCCACTCCCACCTCACCAATTCCAACTCCCACCTACCCCAAGCAGTCTGCTTCTCCTAGCCCAGAAGGCTGGAGGAGAGTGATAGGTTTTTGCAGCCCTGTCTCTCCTCTCCTCTGTCTGGGAGCTGGGC